TACTTCTGAATAGAATGAAGTGTGTGTTTTATTCGAGGCTGTTATCCATCAAAGACGTTTTTCTAATTTTCCCATTTATCAACCAACCTATCAGTGATCATAAATCATCTGAAAAAAGTTTTCATTTCTATTGTCAGAAAGGGGGTTTTGTGAAGATTATAGTAATTTAATAGTTGGATTCATGGGTCAGATAAAGTTAGACCACCGTGGAGAGCTTAGAAGCACTGGCTGATCGTTTCGTCCTAGTATGGGGCTCCTCAGCAGCGCGCATCCGCGATCCTCCACATGTGATTCGAACCCAGGACCTTTAGTCTCGCGCGCGAACGCTTAACCTGAAGACCATTAAGCCAACCAGTGTACAACAGTGTTAATGTCTAACTTCAATCGATCCATGTATGACTGCGCAACCATTCATCCATTATCTAAAGTAGATACTTGTCTCTATTTGACATGGATTAGCTCCATTGGTCATGGCTTCTCACTAGAACTCCAGGAAATACATCTTGAAGCCAATCACTATGAATTTATCAAAATAATTTATCCCTTAAAATTAGTATAAACATCATTTTTGAAAGGATTTCTTCCTATCGAACAACAGAATTCCTTGGAAAATTCTTTTTTCTTCTCAACGTCCATGTACATTCTTTAATGCGATTGTAAAACATAAAATCCAAAGATGGATGTATTTTCAATGAAGTTACTGTTACGTCCTCGCTGTAGGGGTGTTGTTTACGAAATCGAGAGGACAAAAAGCGAATTCCTGGAGCTCGAACTAGGTTGGTGGACACGAAGGGTCCAAATCAGTAGTGTACATGGGCTCTAGGATCCTGAGGGAACACAAGGTGTATGAATTAGTTGTTGATCACCTGCTACTATGTGACTGGAACTCCTTACATTGCTCCGCTGCCTTGTGGATTAGACCTTTAGGCCAATGAAATAAGACACTTAAAATTAAACACGAACTTTTGATAGCTTTCTCTTTTCAACTTTCTCAACCATTTTTGGATGTCACTTGATGATTCACCAAGCCTTTCATCTAAGTTTATTTTCGTGGGTGCCATCTCTGTATCATTACCTGTCTTGAAATCCTGAAAGACTAAACTCTAGTTTGTACGCTTAGAAAGCTTTTTTGTTACAAAAGCAATCACAAGTCAGAGTACGAAATTAGCTATGCATACTCATTGATGCCGGAAGACGTTAATGAACAAGTGCCTGATGTTATTTTTAAGCCGGATTCAGACTCATCATACGATTGCCCAAAAACAGAGATCGTTCGTGTCATACCTCTCACCGACCAGCAGACAATTGATCAACTTTTAGCTAATGTAGAGCTGTGTGACAGCACACCGTCTCAATTAAATAGCCACATGACAAATGTATTGGGGAATCGTATAGTAAATAAACGTCTATTACATCAATTGTAGTTCAAATGTCTCCCTTAAAACATCAAACAGAAACTAGAAATCAGAGAAAATGTCGACTTTAATAGGCCAGTGGACATAACCGATAGAATTCACGAGCGGAACAAGACATCTTTTAAATAACCCACGAAAATTTCACCCCGTCCGCTTTTATTTCACAGTTATTATCAAATACAACTATAATCAGAGAGGGGTTTTGTAGGTATTTTAGTTATTTCAATAGTTGAATTCATGATCCAAATGAAGCTAGACCACCATGGAAAACCTGGAAGCCTGCTCAGTGGTTTAGTGGTTAAGCGCTCGCGTGCGAGACCGATAGGTCCTGGGTTCGAATCTCGCAAGGCGGGATCGTGGATGCGCACTGCTGAGGAGCCTCACACTGGGACGAAACGGCCGTCCAGTATTTCCAGTTTTTCCATGGTGGTCTAGCTTCAATTGACTCATGACGTCAACTTTTAAAAATACAACTATGCTCTATATCGGTAATTCATTTGCCCCCATCAATTCAAAAGTGAAATTGAAAATCCAAACAGATCATTGTTTTAGTTCTATGAGGGAACACATCATTAATGAATATTCGGTGTAATCATTAGTTTCATACTGATAACCTATTAATCGACTAGAATTGTGAATGATTTATGGTGATGTATTTATACTTTATAGCTATTTCAATACATTATTATTAGTAACAGGTTGTGCTGATCACTAACTGACATTAAATGGAGATATATTTACAAATTATAAAGTATTATTGCATTGTTTCACTTTCATTGATATAACTAACGTAATATCGTGGGCCTGTTGAAGTTAAGTATATCTACTACTGAATTCTGGTTTAATTATCAAGATGTCAAGCGTTCACACACAAGAGACTGAAGGTCTTGAGTACGATCCTCACTTCCACACTGATTAAGAATCCTACATTAGGAAAAAAATGGGTGTTCAGTGCTTCCAGGTATTGAGTAGTTGTCTAATTTAGATTAGTTCATGGCTTCAACCAACTTGTTATATTGTATCATAGACAGAAATGACACAAACACACAAAACAAATAATCTCAGTGGTATTGTTTACTTGAATCTTCACATTGATGTTTAGGACTGCAATTGATCAGTCTCTTATTGACATATGTGCATCCTGTGCGGATTGCTTCGATATAGCCTTAAGTCACAAGCTTTTTAAGCAAAGATGGATGGTGAATATTAGTGGAATGGAGGATGCACATTTTGTCATATTTGGTACTCGTCAACTAGGATGTACCTACATCTCAGAGTTGATGTTCACTCTGTGACTAGAAACCAAGACCATTCGCTTCAAACACCATCATTTTATCCATTTAGCCACTTGCTTCTGAACATCAACTATAAGATCCAAGTATATCCACTAGCTGACGAATCTCAAATAGGACAAAACACTCATCAAACTCGATTCCATTACTAACTAATATCTATCGCCCCCATATGCCCTGTTACGGCCGAAAGTGAGGAGAGTTCGCTCACCCTCTCGAAATGCTCTCACATGGCCACGCATATATAGCTGCCGCCAGGAAAGTCCTACTCACTGCCTTCTCGGGGTGGTGGGGTGTTGTTTACGGAAGTCGGAAAACCCTGATTTCAAACCAATGGTGTATATGGGCTCCAGTACCCTAAGGGAACAAATGGCACATGAACCAATTATTGGCCGCCGACTACCATGGGACTGCATCAGTTTACGATGCTTCCCTGCCTTGTGGATCAGACCTTCGGGTCGAAGGCTCCGGATGTGGCCACTTAAGAAAACCACTTGCCTCGATCTGGGCACCCGGACAGTAACATAGCCCTCACACATATCAAATGAGATCTGTGTGGTGCATGTGTATTTGGTACCTCCTTATACCAATATCTATGTGTTAATATAAAATGTGTATATCTTTAATTCACTTGATATTGTTTTTACTTGAGTCTTCCCATTGATGTTTTAGGACTGAAATTGATCAGTCTCTTATTGGCATATGTGCATACTGTGCGTATGCCTCGATATTGCCTTAATTTACAACCATTATAAGCGAAGATGGATAGTGGCTAGCAGTGAAATCCAGGACGCGCGTTTCGTCCTGCTTGCGACTCGTCAGCTGGATGTACCTGCATCTCAGAGTTGATGTTCACTCTGGGACTCGAACTCAGTACCGTTCGCTTCAATCGCCATCGCGTTATCCACTTAGCTACTGAGTCCAGAGTGAACACCAACTCTGAGATGTAGGTACATCCAGCTGACGGGTCCCAAACAGGACGAAACGCACGTCCTGGATTCCACTGCTAGCCACTATCCATCTTTGCTTATGTATATCTTTGTTTGAATAAAATACTCATTCAAATATCATACTTACTTGAAAATTAAAACATGGTACATTATAACGTTTTTGTAATATTTGTGTATAAAAATATTGATTTAATGGTATTGGTAACATAACTAAATTGTCATCTAATCCAACTGATAAACGTATACCTTGATAACCATTATCCATTGCAATAAATTGAAACATATTATCAATATTGCCAATATTGAATTCCCAATAAGATATTGTTGAATGTATTAATGATTGTATTATAATTTCATTAGTATCTATATCATCTATATTTTGAAATAAATCATTTGGTATATGCAATGATAGATTCCTTGCTAAATTCATATATTTATTCCATAATATATTATATTGTTTATCATAGACATTATATGGTGCCATTGCATTACATAATATAATATCAGGCCATTGAAATGCTTCATAATCATTAATATAACTAGTCAATATTGGATAAGATAAATAATGTTCAATAATATATGATAAATTAATTAAAAATCCAATCATACCAATTAACCATAATATAAACCAGATGAAACGATTTATATGATTAGTTGCTTTGGATAGATGCGATAAACCATGTATTGTACTATGATTTAATAATTGTATAATGCCTAGACGAAAATCATTGAATTGATTTGTATTGTTATTGTTATTATTATCATGATTATTATTATGATTAGTAGTAATAGTATTTGTTCCATGAATTTGAGTTCTTTCCGATAATTGATCTAATGAATTAGGTAACATAAGTGATAGCGTGTGTTTCTTTTTAGCGATAAATTTCAAACTACTAATAAGTAGTTAAATAATTTTCACTAAATATATTGATCACACAGTTTGAACTAAATGACACTAATTTGAAACTTCTAATACAAGGTGAACGTAAAATTTATATCCTTTATATTATGAGAAATTGTTTAGAGAGGGTTCATTCAATGGATAGAAGAGAACATTAATTAGAATTATTGGTTAATGTTGACCGAACACAAAAATATTCTACTTGGAATTTAACTTCGAACTTAATAATATCGGCTGTATTCATGGTAGAAAAAAAATGTTTGATATGAGCTAACCAATTAGATAACAGTTTATATTAATTTAAATTAGGGATGAAAGAATTTCACTGGTTCATATTATATGACAATAGGGTGTAAGCAAAGGTATGTGTGTGTTTCTATGCGCGCGCACACACACACATGCATTATTTACCAAGTGAAATAGAATTTCTGACGTACTACGTATGTACACTGATAATAATAATAATAATAATAATAATAATAATAATAATAATAATAATAATAATAATAATAATAATAATAATAATAATAATGAAAATAATATCCCACTAGCATTAAAACTAACGGTATTGTAGTTTTATGGAGGTTGGTTTAATTAGTAGATGGGTATTTGTCATTGATTTGGTGTATTCGTTTTGCACAATTCCGACTTTATTCAATTTTCGATAGAACTAATCAGTTAAACAAGTTAGCTTACTAGTGACTTTACTTTGAGATGTTCTTGAATGTCCAGTTAGAAGTTACAATTTGTTTAGCTTAGATATTTTAAGAATAAACTGGTTTTAATTAGTGGGATTGGATGATATTTATGTTATACTTAAAGCTGATTGGATTTGGAATTATACTGTTGGTTGACTGAAAGGTTCCATTAATTAGACATTTGCCCTAGGAGCCGAAGTTCGTAGATTTGAACAATGGTGAAGTTGTAGATATACACTGGGTTAGTATCATCATAATAGAACAAAACGGTTTTACAGTCCTATTTGGTTTCCAATACTACCGCAAACAAGATCAATATATGACAAATACAATCTACTTCGGAACAGTGTTTATTCCCTTATTGACTCAGGATGCTCAGGTAGTACAGTTCTGTTTGGTCAGAGTTTTCTGACCTCATTAAGCAGTTATATAAACTTATATGAAATGAGATTTTCCCGTCATAAATACTTAATTTTGCTACAGGACTGATTTTTGTCAATGCTTGAATCAATCATAGGGAATGAATTAATTGAGTGTGTCGATTACTTGGAAATTGTATCACCCTTAACGGGTTGATTTCTGACGAAATAGCGATACAAATTTATAAAGCTCAGTTGGCTTTTGCCAACTTACATTACCTGTGGAATAAGGAAGATACACGTCTACCAATTAAAAGACAACTATACGACATAAAAGTTCGCTCTGATTTAATTTATGGCTATGAAATGTGACCTTTAAAATTAGAGGATAGTTGTAAGTCTCCGATATTTGATCTCAAGTATATTCAAGCCACTGGTCGTGTATTTCGAAACCATAAAATTAACCATTCTTAGATTAGATTTAGAGTACTAAGTATATCAAGCTGATTGATCAAGTAGCTAATCTTCACCGACTGAAATGATTAAGACATATAGCATGTATTTCTATTAACCAACTATCTGACCTCATGATAATAGTTGTTGTAGAAGTACGGCGAGTGGTCAAACAAAACTCATTTCTTAACTGTTTCAAGTAACAGTTTTCTATAGATTATATCATCTAGCTAATATAAAGTTAGTTTTTATTATTGTCTAGAATGTATTCGGAACATCATTGAAATCAAAGAATACTAGATTAATATTTTGTTCTAATAATAGTAACTAAGGTTTTTATCGCTATAGCTATCACCTTAATACTACACTTATGATTATTGTTATATCCTGGTGATGAAGATTAAATTACTGGTAACTTCTGAGGAATTCCTTCTGGAGACCTTCTGAGGTTACTGCCGGTCTCAAGCCCAGACAAAGGAGGAAGGTTGGGCATGGGGTTAACAATCCCATCCCGTAGAAAACTAACTCTCTCTGAAAAACGCTAACCAGAAAAGACAATTCAAACCATTTAAACTCTGCCCTGTGAGTTAGGAGGTCTTCATTTAGAAGAGTTATGACACCTTACGGTGAAAACCGAGTTCCTTCGGAAGTCACGATGTTGATGCCTATTCTGACAACCATAGTAACCATTAATTTAGGTACATGAAATACTCGTACAATGTGGGAGACCGGGAGAGTCTTCCAAATTGCTGAAAATTCTGAGAACTATTCATGGACTAATATTATACGTATATTCTCATTGTACACCTATTCAGTAACTAGATTATGAATATCTATATTCCTCTTATTGTAAGCTTTATTTTGACCCATAAACTATTTATTATTCGATTTACTGCTCTTAAATTATATTCAGTTTATTGATTACCGTCTCCTACGTTCACAGCCACTTTTCGGCTTGATCTTGTATAAATGTTATTCGTTAGTTTATGATTTGATGCGGTTTGCCTGTATATAAACCAAGTATGTTTGAAATAAATGGTTCGCACAATGAAAGCTGTTATTCGCGGCTCTGAACTCGACTGAACGGGCTAACCGAACAAAAGACCAATAAAGATTCTAGGCTGCTCATACTAGTCGAACGTCATTGCGTTAGCATAGTACTAAGATTGAATAAGTCGTATTTAGATTGACGAATAAATCACGAGATAACTAGCCGTGCTTAAAGTCACACCATTTATGGACAAATTTTTATAAGCTCATCTATACAACAGATAAAATTCATTCATCTTATTGATATATGATCATATCATGAATTCCTTTAATTATCTCTTCATTTCGTTTTACCATAGACATTTGATTATACTTGTCAAAGATAAGAGATGGATATCATTTATACTCATTTCATTATTGACATTTTATACTTGTGAAATTTATCTCTCTTCCTAAATTCATCCTGGATTAGACAATTTTTCAATCTCTTTGATCAAATACTCATAAAACTACATCAAATGTGTGTTAGGTAGGTATGTATGTAGGTAGGTAGGTAGGTGAGTCGGTAGGTAGGTAGGTAGGTATGTACATCATGATTGTAGTAGTAAGATATGAATAGAAAGGGATAAACAAAAGATTTATTGTGTTATTTGGAAGCAATGGGATATAGCAAACCTAAAGGATACATGATATATAATGAAGATAACAATCATATTATTCAGTAGTATATTTAGCTTGTGTCTATCATTTAAATCATTCAGTTAATCAACTTAAACAATTCTTAATACTTTCATAACTTGCACCATAGAATGATCTTAGCTAGAAAACCACTTACGGCTGCAAAACATGGCCATTCAGAGTTGAAGATACTCGTAAATTACTAGTATTTGATCACAGATGCCTTAGAAATATTGCTTGCATCTGCTGGGATCATCGGGTGAGTAATAGTGAGGTTAGATGTATAGTATTAAGGAATGATGGTAAATCAGTTGATGAGGTTGTGAATCTTCATTGACTGAGATGGTTGGGTCACGTGTTACGTATGCCTGAACACCGATTACCAGAACGCGCAATGCTGACTAGTGTAGGGGATGATTGGAAGAGTTAGAGGCGGCCAAACCAAAACGTGGCATCAGTCATTGAAGTCACCAACTTCTAGTCTTAGCCATGTTGGTATATTCAAACTATTTGGTCAGGGTCCGTTTGACTATCATAACTAATGGTTAGATACTTTGAGTGACATGGTTCAGAATCGATCACATTGGCTTAGGTGTATACACTCTTAGTGTTCCCTTAAATCGTCAGATGAAAATTACTTTATACCTTTCCTTCTACAAGCGAGTTCTTTTATATGCACTCTTTCTCTTATATATTACTACCATTGAAGTAACTCCTTTCAATGAATTTGGTGTTCATCTTGTTGTATTAATGAGATATGGCAACTTGAACCGATGTATATATACGCTTGGTCCTACGTTGTATCTGACAAATTGACTGACGGACTGATATTATGAAATTAAGTGAATATTTTAAAAAAAACCTCAGTAAATAAATGAAGATAAATGAGTTCTTTACTACTCACTATTATGTAAACTTTATAAATTTCCATGATTTATCTTCTTTCAAAATAAAATAACTTATGCCTATTGTTTTAGGCAGTTTAATAATAATAATATCAGAAGGAGTTTTGTGGTGATTGTAGTAATTACAATCCCTTCTGATACTAATCAACATATGCTCACTAGTGACTGGTTTCAAGAGATATATCTTGGAGTTCTAGTGAGAAGCAGTGACCAGTGGAGTTCAACTGGGTCAGTTGTGAGGTAGTAACTCACTGATGACAATGGTGAATGTGTCGCTCAATTTCGTGGATTAGTTGAAGTTAGACATTAACACCGTTGGATGCCGGCTCAGTGATCTAGTTGGTTAAGCACCTGGCGCGAGCCTGATAGATCCTGGGTTCAAATCCCGCGTGGCGGGGTCGTGGATGCGCACTGCCGAGGAGTCCCACAATGGGACGGAACGGCCGTCCGGTGCTTCCAGGTCTTCCTTGGTGGTCTAGCTTCAATTGACCCATGATCTCAAATGTTGAAATAATAATAATAATAACAATAATAAAAATTCGAAACTACGATCAGAATGGGGTTTGTAAAGATTGCAGTCATATTAATTATTGAATTCATGAGTCTATCTAAGATAGCGAGACAGGTATCTAGCTCAGACAATATAATTACTAAACATCTCCAAGACATCAGATCGTTACCTTGGAATCTTTCAAGGTGACCAATAAGCAGCCAAACTCCTGTCTTCTGAAGTTCGCTCAAGTCGTTACTATCAGGCTTAAGGTCCTGATTTATACGTTCAATATGAGATGGTTATTAATCTTTTTTTTTGCCTTGATGACAAATAATCCTTTGTGATATCTTAGACATTTTTCTTTAAACTCTTTCTTGCATTGATTACATCATTGAGTTTTTATTTCAACTATCTTCTAGATTAGTAATTTTATTTTTATCAACTGAGCTTTGCTCATTTTATTCCTATCAATGTTTACTCATTATGTAATCACTTGTTTCTAGGCGTTTGAACTATTGTCACAATCAACGTTGTAGAATGTTCTTTTATCACATTAGGTATATATTTACAATATTCAATCTATTAGACTGGTTAAAATCATGAGTCAGTTGAAGCTAGAACACCATGGGAAACTTGAAAGCACTGGACGGCGGTTTTGCCCTAGTATGGGACTCCTCAGCAGCGCGCATCCACGATCCCGCCCTCTGCGAGATTCGAACCCAGGACCTATCAGTCTTGCGTCAGGCGCTTAACCAACTAGACCATCGAGCCGGCATCCAACGATGTTAATGCTTCTAGGTTTTCCATGGTAGTCTAGGTTCAATTGACTCATGATTTCAACCAGTGAAATTTTCAAAACCCCCACAAAACCCATTCTGATTCAGTCTATTAATTTTATTTTCACCCTTACTATACTATAATAATGTGTCCTCAATATAACTTCCAACCAAACTCTTTCATGTAAGTAATTTACAACCATTATGTAATTGTGATTCTTAAATATCACAGGTTTTAAGCAGCTGACGAGAACCAACGAAATAAAAATGAATTCATGTTATTCTGCTAGAATCATTGTTCTTACTCTTTTCAAAATAATAAAGGGAACTGTGTGTATGAAACGGATGAACGGTTACGCAGTCATTTATGGATCAATGAAAGTTAGACATTAACACTATTGAATGCCGGCCAGCTCAGTGGTCTAGAGGTTTAGTGTTCGTACACAAGACCAAAGGTTTTGAGTTCGATTCCCACGTACGGGACTGTGAACGTGTACTTCTGAGAAGTCCCATTACTGGGAGGAAACAACCATCCAAAACTTCGAGGTCTCCCATGGCGGTCTAACTTAAATCGACTCATGAATTCATCTAATATAATTTGAAATTGTTGTAAATTCAAGTGGACAAGTAAGTATGCAAAGAAACAGATAGATAGATAGATATCAGTTTAGGGGTTTTGGAGATTGTTAAGTTTTTGATTGAGATCATGAGCCGATTGATATTAGACCACCACTGAAAAGCCGGAAGGACTGGACGGCCGTTTCGTCCTATTGTGAGACTGCTCAGCGGTGCTCATCCACGACCCCGCTCGCGGGACTCGAACCTCGGGCCTTCAATCTTGCGCGTGAACACTTAACCTACCAGACCACTGAGCCGCCATCCAGTGGTGTTAATGTCTAACCTTAACCAGTTCACGAAATTGCGCGACCATCTTCCATTGTACTGAGGTAGACACCTGTTTCTACCCGACACGGATTAGCTCCACTGGTCACAGTTTCTCATAAGGTAGCTAGACAGACTAGGCTAGGCAACCACTTTTTTACTATATAAAAAAGGCAAATCATGACGATGTTATCTGTTTTTCCATTTGTAATGAATGAATTATTTATTCAAGGTTTCAATTCATAAATGATTGAAATAGAATATTATGATATGAAATCTATCAATTTAAGAAATCAACATTGTCAATTACATAACTGACTTGAGTTTAATAAAACATGAATAATGAAACAAATATAATGAAAACAATTGTAAATGATTAGCTTCATTTGGTATTGTTTGTTTGAATCTTCTCATTGTTGTTTAGGACTACAATTGATCAGTCTTTTAATGGTATATATACATCCTATGCAGATTACCGCGATATTGCCTTAAGTCACAAGCTTTATAATCAAAGATAGATGATAGATAGCAGTGTAACGGAGGACGCACGTTTCATATTATTCGAGACGCATCAGCTGGATGTACCGGTATCCCAGAATTGATCCTCACTCCGAGACTTGAACCTAGTACCATTCGCCTCAAACGCTATCGTGTTGTCCACTTAGATACCCAGTCCTGATAAACACTTGGTGTGATGTTTAAATTCACTTGGTATTGTTTACTTGAATCTTCACATTGATGTTTAGGACTGCAATCGATTAGTCTGATATTAATATATGTGCATCCTGTACGGATTGCTTCGATATAGCCTTAGGTCACAAGCCTTTTTAAGCAAAGATAAATAGTAGTTAGCAATGGAATCCAGAACGCGCGTTTCCTCTTCAGCTGGATATACCTATATCTCAGAGTTGATGTTCATTCTAGGACTTGAACCCAGTACCATTCTCTTCTTCATAACATGACACTTCATATACACTTTCCAGTGAATTACTTTTATCTTTCAATCATCCTTATTTGTTATTATATTGAATTGTAGAAAGCTGATCGAGAAGATGTAAAAAGTTTCATTAATCGATTAGAATTTGATAGTGCAAATCAAACACTTGAAAAATTAATTGAAGATCTATTCGCCAAGTTAAATGTAGCGGTAAGTTCATTACTATTCAAAGTAGTATATAATGATACACTTTATTTCATATTTGTGATTGAATGTTTTATCAATAAATGAATACGAAATCCATATCTCAACTAAATACAGTAAAAGAAAATGAAACTATGTTGGAAGTTTTACCTGTTTAATGTATACATAGACTTAGACAAATGAATTCGTGGATGCTTTGTTACTTACTTACGCCAGTTACTCCTCATCGGGGAGTACAGGCCGCTCACCAGTATTCACTATTCAACTCTGTCTTGAACAATCCTTTCCAGTTGTTTCCAGATTCTGTTCATCCTTTTCATGTTTGCTTCCAATTCTCGATGTAGTGTGTTCTTCGACCATTCTCTTTTCCGTTTCTCTTCAGAATTCCAAGTTAGGACATACCTCCTGATGAAGTTTAATGATTTCCTCTATGTATGCTTTATCCACTTCCAGGGTCTTTTCCTAATTTGCTTTTCAAATGGAAACTGGTTTGTCCTCTCCTATAGAAGGCTGTTGCTGATGGTATCTGGCAAACAACGGATATTGGGTATCTTGCGTAGACAACTATTAATAAATACTTGTACCTTCTTGATGATGGTTGTTGTAGTTCTCCACGTTTCATTTCCGTACAGTATGACTGTCTTAACGTTTATATTGATGATTCCGACTTGGACATTGATTGACAGTTGTTTTGAGTTCCATATATTCTTCAACTGTAGGAATTTTATCTTTGCTCTGCCAATCCTCACTCATATGAGCACTCATAATTCAAAGATCGATAACATTAACGTACGTACATATAGTTATTCAAAGTAATTTGGTTGTGGGCTGTATTTGTCGCATACTGACTTAAGTTGTGATATGAATGAAGGTAAATGAGCACGAGACAAATGTTTCCTCCTAATATGGGACTATCTCTAAGAACTGAAAGTCTTGGGTCCAACACCTGATGGTTTATGGGTACGTGTTTCCTGGTGCTTCCTGGTTCCCATTGTTACCTCCACTGAGATCGATCTTAGACAAATACAATCAACAAATTAAATCAATGTTCACAAAATCTCTTCATCTAAGATATTTCAATTGTAGCTTAATAATTTTACTACTTATAGTAAGTACGCCATCAAGAGAAACTGTTTAGCTTGAGTTACTTAGTTAGTAATTTGAAAACAAATGAAAGATGGTCAAGTAATATCGCGTACTGACTGAAGTTACACTTCCACACAATCGAAAGCCGGCTTAATGGTCTAGATGTTAAATGTTCACGTTTGAAGCCGAAGGTCCTGAGTTGAATTCCTGGTTGCGGAATCGTGGATGAACACTGCTGAGGAACCTTGAACTTAGTCAGTCAGTCAGTTACAACGTAGGACCAGGCATATACATACATCGGTCCAAATTGCCATACATTCATTAGCACAAGAAGATGAACACCTGATTCATAGAAGCAGTCAATTCAATGGTGAAATATATAACGGAAAGATAGCATATAAGGACATAGTACAGGAAGAAAGAGTTAGTTCGTAGAAAGAAAGATATGAAGTAATTTTAGTCTCACCATTGAGCTATGCCACCCAGAGTCTCCAACTATTGATTACGATAGTCACGCGGATCTCAACCAAGCAATCTGCATCTACCAACGTGGCTCAAACTGGAAGTTAGTAACTTTACAGAGTGATACTTCAAACTAGGATAAACTGACTATTCACTGCTTTCAGGCTTCTAATAGTGATCTCACTTAGATCGGTTTGTGATTTAATTTATCAGAATTGATTCATTTAATTTATCAAAGTCTAATTCTCTGATTACTATTCCTCTTCAATAAGAAACTAATTATCTTTTCAGGAAAATGAACTCAAATCATTATTAATCGATTTACAAGAAACTATGGAAAATAAATTAGATCGTGATGAAATGGAACAATTAAGAGAATGGTTAGAGAAACGATTTAAATCAATAAATAAACGTTTGAATTCATTTACACATGATACATCACCAACTAGACAAATAACAGATGATGCTGCTGGTTTAAAACGTAGTCTTATGCAACATTATCATTGTATATCATGTGATCGTCCATTAGAGGTTGCTTTAAGTCAAGAGTAAGTTGGATCTCTTTTTTTGTTAATAAAACATTTATTCACAATTACTGACTAGTGATATATCGTTGTAACTGTCTTTAAGAGTGTGGTGTGTGCTACTTATATTGAGATAAGTAGTATATGATGTGAGTCATGAACAGAAGGTCTGGCAGCAGAGAGACAAGAAGATCGAACAGTAGAAAATGGAAACAGGATGCAATTTGAGACAACTGGTGGACATTTTGCAAATTAAGCATTTACTATTTGATTGTTAGATTTTATTAACAAGTCCTGTAATTTTGTGTCAAATACATTCGATTGTCCCCACTGGTCTTCGTGTTCCCTACAACAGTTATGTAATGTAGGGATGTGTTTAAGACTATCTCAGCAAATTTCAATCCGTTATTACCCAATCAGGTGATAGATTTGGTAAATAGATTAGTTGTCCAGAAGAAAAAAACAAAACTTATATTGTAATGTACGAATGCTCAGTTGAAGTGACCAATTTGTTGTCGAATAAATCAATCAAAATGTGAAAATCCCGAGAACAGGATTGTGGATGCGCACTGCTGAGGAGGACGAAACAGTCGTCCAGTACTCTCCGGTTTTCAATGTTGATCTAACATCAATTAATTCATGATCTCAATTAAATCTCCACAACCTTATACTGATAACATCTATCTTTTGAGTTCTTACAATGATATTCAATTAGATAGCAGATAAACAATGGATGATTAAGATTTAGTTTAGAAATGACTGATCTTATTTTTAACTTACCGTTTTTCCAATGCCTATAAAACTATTAGACGTTGTGGAATATCGAGGAACACAAAAGATGAACTATGATAGTTCTTTAAAATGGTTAAATTAGATGAAGTAAGTGATTAAGCTTGGTTTTAGGATATGAACCAGTAAATATCTATAAGAGATCCTATAATTTTCTTGATTGATTGACTTAGCGATCTGTTGATACTCATTGTTAATATTCACTGTCTCCTACTTTGTAACTAAAACGTCAGTTAATGTAGGAGGAATAATAGGAATTGAAGAGGGAAGTTGATTATGAATACAATGTGCTTGAGTACTGTTAGAGGTATGAGAGTAGTTATCAATTCCTGGTTGCCTACACCGTGAAAAGGTTCTTCTGGAGGTACATGAAAAGAAAATTGGATTAGAGGTGGTCATAGTGACCTGAGAACGTGATCGCAGTACCCAAGGAACAACCACTTGAGGTCGCTCACACATGACCTGATATCTGAAATTGTCCGATTCAATATAGTACTTGGAAGATAACAAGTGAGATATTGTCTGTCTGAATAAAGTTTCAAGTGGATTGCTTTTTACATCTGTTTACCAATAATAAAAACATCGTTTCATGAAATGAATATTTAATCTCAACAGTTGAGATCATGAGTCAATTGAAGCTAGACCACCAAGGAAGACCTGGAAGCACCGGACGGTCGTTCCGTCCCATTGTGGGACTCCTCAGTAGTGCTCGCCCACGACCCCGCCCCGCGGGATTCGAACCCGGGACCTACCATTCTCGCGCCAGGCGCTTGACCAACTATACCACTGAGCCGGCCAGCATCCAACGACGTTAATGTCTAACTTCAACTAATCCACCATTGTCATCAGTGAGTTACTATCTCACAACTGGTCACTGCTTCTCACTAGAACTCCGGGATATATCTCTTGAAGCCAGTCACTAGTGATCATATGTCGTTTACTATCAGAAGGGGTTTTTGTAGAGACTGTAGTAATTTCAACAGTTGAAGTCACGAGTCAATTGAAGCTAGACCACCATAGAAAACCAGGAATATTTAATCGAATTTCGACAATTTATTCAAATATCAATGGAGTCTTGTTCTCTGATCTGAATGATTTGGACATGGAGCATTCATCGTTCTACTGAATGATATCATTAGCACAAACTTCTATTTAAATTTCATTTTACTATATTTTATTTTACAAGATATGCTAAACTTAATCTCTTTGTTCTAACCCAATATGGTAACTTTGGTAAACTCACATTTATACCAAACCTTACATGAATGATCAGTAACTGATTGACCTGAAACTGTGATCTTGTAAAAAAGGAACTCTTTATATTCATTAGTAACCAACTTGTTAACGGAATATAGATTGGATTAAGGTGTATTCCGTGCAGGATTGTGTTGTTGCATGCTGATTGGCCATTTTTTATCCAATCACAGTTAGTGGATACTTGGAGAGAACTCTAGAATCTTCTCATGTAGAGATTATCGATATACTGACATTTCTCTTATTGTACTTCTTAATTCCATCTACTCTTTTTATTTGGAATAGAATTTCGTTCTTGTTCAACCTTGTTCTGTTTTGGGAACTTGTCGACTGAATTGATGTTCAAGAATACCTAAGCAATAAGAATAGCTACGTTGTAATAAAAGAAATTATAGTACAACTTTAAATGGTTATGAAGAAAAATCCCGATTGAATGGTATATACTGGTTGATTTAATAGTCATCTAATAGGAGATTTATCAGACCTTATCCGATCTTAGTATCTAAGACAATGTAACCTTCTACTATGATCAATAAATGATAACATTTGATCTGTCTCATTCTTCTCTTCATTATTTATTTCAAATTTGCTACTGAGATTGGTTGAATATTGATTGATAAATAGTGAATAGTAGAACTCTTTAAAACAAATGACTTCAATATTTATCTCTTTAATTTAATAGATATTTAGGCAGTTACCCAGCTGATAGTCGAGGATTTCCAATGAATAAATCCATACGACCATATACTACATTCGATTTGGAAAGTTTACGTCATCAAATACAAACGTAAGTTATTAGTTATCATGAGATCCTCTCTCCCATCTTCTTCTTCTTCTTCTTCTCTTTCGCTCTCTCTATTCAATTTCTAACATATTGAATGTTGTAAAGTGTAATTACCTATTGATTCTTTACTTCATTCCTCTCTAGAAGAGAGTTACTGTTTGTTTACGCATGTAATCAATTAATCTATGACAATCTAATACAAATAGTCTCTTCAATAACCACATGATTGATTTAATAAAGTTGAACTATTCTATTGAACGGTGTTGAAGGTCATGGCTAGTTTTTGTCACTTAGACATCAAACCGGTGAGATTATAATTTATGGACGACCTTTGAGTGACGCTAAAGTGACTTTGAGAGTGTCCACCTCATAACTTTGACTAAATGAGGGTTATAAACCTGTGTGACGAATAGGAATTATGATTTACAGTTGATGATTAAGGTTAGGAATTAGATTTCGGAGTTTTCATCACGAACTGACATCAGCTATAATGCCAAAACTTTATTTATTCAAATGGATGAGTGAACTTCGCGCCAAAATCCGAGACCTGTCATCTTATACGTGATTGGTTCGTTCATAAATTATAATCTCGCCGTTTATGAATGTATTTTAACTGTTAGAGTTCTAGATTAGGATTGAAGAACTTTTTTTGTAATATATACCAAATTTTAATTTGAAACTGAAATACTACTTATAACCCGAACATTAACTTCAATACTAAGCATGATGAATATTGAATTGAACTGTCATCTCATTCTAAACTGATTTAATCATCATGACTTGGAAGTCATTCCCTTGATCCTAATTGATTCAGTAGTATATTGAAACACATTCTCAAATTTTTGATGATAATTAGAAATAGCTTCTAGAAAATTTATAAAATCTTTTGGGTTGAACATCGACATAATGAATGGAGGAAAGTGGCATGTATTTTAGTATGGCCCAAGAACAGTCAATGCATAATTCTAAATAAGAACGATATCGAACCTACTTTAATGAAGAAGAAGAAAAAACATTAGATGGATCCAATTTCACTGTGCTTTCTTATCACCATTTATTCTATATTTATTTAAACACATAAACAAGAAGACACCGAAAATATATGTGCCTAACAAACCGTTTGATTTGTGTGAGGTCTGGAATACTAACCAGGTGTACAAATCGAACCAGGTGGTTTTTTAGTAGGCCACTCCCTTAGCTTTTGACCTAAAGGTCTAATCCAAAAGACAGTGGAGCAATGTAAGGAGATGCAGTCTCATGGTAGCCGGTTCATACGCCATTTATTTCCTTAGGATCCTGGAACCCATGTTCATCGATGATTTTGACATTCACATTTCGTCCTCTCAATTTCGTAACCAACATTCCCAACGCGAAAAGGCAATGAGTACGACTTACGTGGAATTAGTTGTAAGCACGTAGCCATAAGAGAGTATTTGAACAGGGAGAGCTAACTCTCCTTACTCTCGGCTGTACCACAGCATTTGAGGGGCTTATCACCAACTCACTGAGAAAATGATTAGAGAATGAGATGAATTTTGAAAAATGATCTAATTTCTGAAGACATAACAAACTACCCAACAGGAAATCAATCAGATTATCTAGTAGCACAAAACAGACTGATATGAATTAGAAATTCATAGTAAAGTACATTAGTTATCTGTTATTTCTTTAATATTCCTAAATAATGATTTAATTTAATAGTTGAATTCATGAGTCAGTTAAAGCTAGACCACTATGGAAAACCCAAAAACACTGAACGGCCGTCTCGTCCTACTATGAAACACCTCAGCAGTGTACATCCACGATCCTGCCTCGTGAGATTCAAAACTAGTACTTAACAGTCTCGCACGCACGCTCCTAACCTCTGCTATGGAGTCCCATACTAGGACGAAACGACCGTCCTGTTCTTCCAAGTTTTCCATGGTGATCTAACTTTAATTGACTCATGAATTCAACTATAGGAATCAATACAATCTCCATAAAACCCCTTCTGATACTAATTTTTAATTCATTAAAGTGAAGTATGCAATGAAGAAGGAAAAAAACGATGATAATCAGTGATACTCTTATATCAATGAAGCTACTTGTTTTTCTCTTACCTACATAAAACTCTTCTTATAATATAAGCTTCGGTACTGTATAAAATGAAGTGGGTAAGCTTAAAAAAGGGATTTGAAAGATGATGAAGGGTGAGACACAAATACACACACACACACAAAGAATTGAAGAAATCATAGAAGTAGAGAATCAAAGTAAAAGATCATTTACTGACCGAAAATTGTTTATTTTGATTTGTGTGTGTGTGTGTGTGTGATATTTTCCAAATCAAAATCCTTAATAGAATGTAAGAGAGAAACTAATTGAGATACAATTAGATCTAGATCATAATTGTATATATCACTAAAACTAAATAAGTAGTTTATTTAGACTACTATTAGGATAGTTACATAATATACAGACTAGAATATTCTATAAACTATTGTAGTATACCATTTGTATTGTCTTGAGTGCACATATATTGCCTGGTCCTACGTTGTAGCTGACTGACTGACTGACTGACTGACTTACTGACCGTTTGTATTGCATGACAACATTATAGAAGGAAAGAATACTATTCAAAGCCAAATATTTTTCTACCTTAAGTTATTGATAACAAGAAATAAGTAGTTGGTATACGAATCGTCAACAATTGAATAAGTGAAATTAAATTACTATGAAAATGTCATTAGTACTTATGACCGAATAAAGTTTAACTATTCTATATAGTAAGTAGTAGTATAATATTTCCAACAATATTCATTCAATATAACAGACTAATTCTAAGGGTTACTTCTTTGATATCTTATGAACGAATAACATTGAATAATGATGGCTCATTATTGCCAGTCAACTGAAGTTAGAAATGTAAATTAGTAATCTAATAGTTGAATGCTAACCATAAAACACAAAGATCTTCGGTCCAATGCCTTTTGAGGTTTATGAGTTTTTTTTATTATTTATTTGAACACATAGATGTTGGTACAAGGGGGCACCAGATACATATGCGCCACACAAATCTCAATTGATTTGTGTGAGGGCTTTGATACTTCCCGGGTGCCCAAACCGATGCAGGTGGCTTTCTTAAGGGGCCACATCCCGAGCCGAACATTCTCTTTTCGTCCTCTCAATTTTGTAAACAACACCCCCGCCACGAGAAGGCAATGAGTAGGACTTTCCTGGCAGAGGTTATATAAGCCTGGCCATGTGAGAGCATTTTGAGAGGGAGAGCGGACTCTCTCCATTCTCGGCCGTACCGGGGCATTTGAGGGCATTATGAGTCCTATACTACAACGAAATAGATGTCCAGTACTTCCAGGTTTTTAATACTTGTTTATCTCAGTTTGATTCGTCATATTAGTAACATTCAATAATCTCTACAATCCGATACTGATAGTAGTGTATGAAACTGATACAATAGAAATAGTGCTCCAATGAGCCAGTCAAACGATAAGCACACGTTACTGGCCAATATTTGGCTTATCTTACAAATAAACGAGACAAACACTATTTCAATAGTTGAGATCATGAGTTAGTCCACTATGGAAAAACTGGAAGCACTGAACGGCCTTTTCGTCCTATTGTGGGACTCCTTTGCAGTGCGAGATTCGAACCCAGGACCTTTGGTCTAACTTCCATCGATCCATAAATGACTGCGCAACCATTCTTTCATTGTCTGAAGTAGAAACCTGTTTCTAACCAACACGGATTGAACTCCACTGGTCATGGCTTCTCACTAGAACTCTACGAAATCCATCTTGAAGGTAGTCACTAGTGAGCACATGATGATTATTATTAGAATAGGGGTTTGTGGAGATCATGAATGTTTACTTCTGAAGAGTCTCATACAAGGACAAAACTGCCATCCAGTATATCCAAGTTTGCCATGATGATCTAGCTTACATTTACTCATAAATTCAACTATTAAAATATATTTTTCTCATTAGTTTTTTTGTATCTCTAAAGTATATGTAATAAATTAGTTCATCACAAAAGTCAAAACATTTAAAACATTTTAGTAAAAAGAAATTTTACCCGTTAAGATCATTCATAATAGTTGATGTAAGATTTAAAATGTTATTCAAAATAAACTAACACTTATTATAGGTATCCATAGCAAACTTGAACTTGATAAACCCAGTTGGTGTTGTTTACTTGAATCGCCCCATTGTTATTTAAGACTACCATTAATCAGTCTCTTGTTGGTCTATGTGCGCCCTATGAGGATAGCCCCGATATTGCCTCAATTCACAAGCATTATATGTCGAGATGGATAGTGGTTAGCAGTGGAAGCCAGGACTCGCGTTTCATCTTATTTGGGACTCGTCAGTTGAATGTACCTGTAACTCAGAATTGATGTTCACAAGCAGGTGGCTATCAGGACTCAATAGCTAAGTAGATAACTTGATGGCGTTTGAAGCAAACTGTACTGGGTTCGAGTTCCAGAGTGAACAATAACTCTGAAATGCAGGTACATCCGGTTGATGAGTCTCAAATAGGAGGAAACGCGCGTCCTGGATTCCACGGTTAGCCGCTAGCCATTGTTGAACTTGATAGTTCCAAATAAATTGAGCATTGGATAAAGCGTGAATAATAAATATAATTTTTCTCATATCATAATGAGTAGAAAATTTGTATTTTCGACTTTTTGTGTTAAGTTAATATCGATTATTTATCTATTCACTCTGACGAAGTAGCTTACTTAAGTTACGAAACGTTAACAATACAATTTTACTACTCTTTAGGATATAACAAGAAAAACTATATTCATTACTAATACTTATTATCTTTTTCCTGATTGATTAGTTTTATTCACAACAAAAAATATTAATTTTAATAGCTAAGATCATTAATCAATTGAAACTAGACTACTATAGATAACGTGGAAGCACTGGACGACCGTTTCATCCCATTGTGGGACTCCTCAGTAGTACGAATCCTTGATCTCGCCTCACAAGATTCGAACCCAGTACTTATCCGTCTCGCATACGGGCGCTTAACTTCTAGACCAATCATTTTTCATCACTAATATTGATCATATGAAGGTCTAGATACCCATAAGAGTATACTATTATGTAACTAATTGTAATAATTTTTCATTATGAAATCATATATATATATATATATATTACTATTTTGCTTTTCATCTATTTTGTCTACAGACGATCTAATAAAGCATTTTATGTAGATCCACCATATAGACGGTAATTTTTACACTATTTATCATCTATTTGTTTTCACCTATATTATCATTAATGAATGCACAAAATCATTGATAAGAATTTATTATTTCGATCGATTGGTTACATTCCTTTTTTGTTTTTCCTTTTTTTTTATTCAACATTTGTCAACATTTCCCATCATCCTTAATTATCTCTCCCTTCATCTCCCTGTTTTTTTTTTATATTTTTCTTTTGTTTGTTTTTGTTTGCATCCCTGTGATCAATGTGTGTGCATATGACATTTAAATGTGCGCTAATATTAGAAAATATATACAAAATTGATCTTGATTTATAATGTGAATGAATATGATCATATGTGTGTGTGTATGTGTGCAAAAATTGTGAAATTCATCAGAATTTGATTTTTGATTGAGATCATGAACCGATTGATGTTAAACCACCGTGGGAAACCAGGAACCACTGGACGGCCACTCCGTCCTATTGTGGGACTCTTCAGCAGTGCACATCCTCGATCCGCCCGTGGAATTCGAATCCAGAGCTTTCAGTCGCGCGCGCGGACGCTTAACCTACTGGACCACTGAGCCGGTATGCAATGGTGTTAATGTCTAACGTCAACCAATGCACAAAATTGCGCGATCATCTTTCATTGTACTGAAGTAGATACCTGTCTCTACCCGACATGGATTAGCTCCACTAGTCACGGCTTCTCACTAGAACTCCGAGAATTCCTTCACGAACCTAGTCACTAGTCAGCACATGTTAATTACCAGTATAGGGGTTGTGGAGATTATTAAGAACTTCATTTTCCTCTATATATTTTTGTTTTGCTTTATTATTGATTGATGTTACATAACGAATAAGTTTCTCTTCAAGTGTGTATTATTCATAAATTGTTTCTTTTCAAAAGTGTAAAGAATTTCAATAGTTGAATTCATGAGCTGAATAAAGCTAGACCACTATGAAAAACCTGAATGCACTGGACAACCATTTCGTCCTAGCACGGAAATCCCCAAAAGTTCTCAATCAACATTCTACATGCAAGACTTGAACCCAGGACTTTCGGTCTCATGCGCAAACAAGTGGAATCCAGTCGATGTCGGAAAGATACTGTTATCCACCGAAGACAAGAGATGAAGAGTTGCGCATGGTCGTGGAATGATTAAAGTTAGGCTTTAAAACCATTAGATTCAGGCTTAGTGGTCTAGGGGGGTAAGTATTTGCCAGCGAGACCAAAGGTCGGGATTCCAAGGCCCACTTGAGGGATTGTGAAAGAGCACTGCTGAGGAGTTCCATTCTAGGACGAAATGGCTGACCAATTCATCCAGGTTTTCAATGGTGGTCTAGTTTAGATTCAGCTATTACCATTAAATTACAAGTTGAACAGGGATGGCTGGTGGCCAGCAATAGGATCTAAAACTCACGTTTCATTCTATTCAAGACTCATTTAAAAGATTTGCTTGCTGTAAACACGGTTGATATTTACTCTGGGACTCGAAGTCAGTACCGTTCACATCAAACGCTATCATATCATCCACTTAGCTACTGAGTCCAGATATCCACTGGCTTGTGGATTTTAATCCATTTTTGTATTGATTTTTTGGATCTTCCGCTGATATTTAAGACTATAATTGATCAATCTCTTTTAGCGTGCGTTGTTCGAAATACATATGAATACAGATTGAACAAGTTATACAAACCTTTTATTCTAATAAACAATTCAGTGGTCTTGTTTAACGGCATTTGCAACAACGTTACTTGCTTACTTACTTACGCCTGTTACTCCTCGTGAACGAGTATAGGTCGCCCACCAGCATTCTCCATCCAACCTTGTCGTGGACAATCGTTTCCAGTTCTTTCTGGTTGATATTCATCCTTTTCATATCTGCTTCCGATACCCGACATAGTGTGTTCTTCGACATTCTTTTTTTCCGCTTCCCTTCAGGATTCTAAGTTATGACTTTCTTCCTTATGAAGTTTGGTGATTTCCGTAATGTATGTCCTATCCATTTCCAAATTTCCTTTTCAGATGGAAGCTGGCTTGTCCACTTCTACAGAAGACTGTTGCTGATAGTATCCGGCCTACAACGGATATTGAGTAGACAACTATTAATAAATACTTGTACCTTTTTGATGATGGTTGTAGTAGTTCTCCACGTTTCAACTCCATACAGTAGAACTGTTTTAACGTTCGTATTGAATATTGTGACTTTGATATTGGTTGACAAACAGTTGTTTTAAGTTCCATATATTTACAACAAAGTATTATATACATATATTTTACTAATATAACTCATAACATCAAGATGTTCATAATTTAACACTGTTAATCTATTCTCTATTGTTTAGACCAGATGGTAATTTCAATGATTCACTGAATTACCTACTTACTTACTTAATGGAATCCAAAAATAAAAAAATCTCACCGACAAATCGGTACATACATTGGTATCTAAGTGATTTTTAAACTTATGACATTGTTTATTATGTCTTAAGTAAACTCTAATCTCTAAGCCTATTTTAATACATTTCAACAATACGTACACACACACACACACACACACACACACACATTGTACCTTATTCCTTTTATAGTTAATGGTAATGCACCTGTTTACCCATTTATTTATCTGTATGTAGTATAATGTAATGTGCATGGGTTTTTTTTCTTTCACACGTATACATATGCTTGACAATTCATATGAATTAATGTCATCCATTAAGTGACCTGTAAAGTTCTTACTTTCTGAAATCAACGCGCGTATAGTTATTTTCATTGTTTAAATTATCACTAAAGATTTAAAAGCACTGAGCTGTTGTTTCTTTGTGACATTGGACTCTTCAGTAGTATAAATCACCATCTAGCATCCAGGGTTCGAACCCAGGGCAATCGATCTTTTATGCAAACTATTGGATTATAACCAATATGTTACATGACTTATCATCTAGTGCCAATCTAGAACATCACTCTGTAAATCCTCATCTCTACAAATGCAATCGTACTGATAAGATCATCATTATGTAAAGGTGGATGGCGGCTAGCAGTGGAATCCAAGACTCACACTTCGTTTTATTTGGAACTCGTCCGACGAATGTATCTGCACCTGAGTCGATATCTACTTCAAGATTCGAACCTAATCCGGTTTACTTTGAACACCATCGCATTATCCGCATAACTACTAAGTCCCATTAACTACTAGCTAGCCCCTTATCGATCTTTACTTATAATGCTTATAACTTAAGGCAATATCGAGTTAATCCCCATAGGATAAACATATGTCAATAAGAAACTGACCAATTGCAGTCCTAAACATCAACGGGTAGATACAAACAAACAACATGAAATGAATTCAAATGTTAATTTAATAAACAACAAGATACAAATCAAAACAATCTTGTTATTTCTAAAGAAATCGGATAAATAACATGAAAATGATTTCAACATTCTATGATCAACAATAACAATATGCTCGGTATTTTAAATAGCCAATTCATGTTCTATCTGTCTATGTATATATATATATATATGTTGAATGTAATCAATGTACGTTGTAGGCAGGAGCCTTCTAAGAAAAAGATTACACTAATACAATTTATTGCTGTTACCTTCCCCATTTTCTTTCTTTCTTTCTTTTTTGAATCAGATATAATTGTAATTATTATGATGTTTATGGTGGTACACCACGTCAGTGTGGTGGAACGCATACAACTGCACCATCATCCAAAGAAAATCACGTGCAACAACGTGTAAAAGGTTAATTTTCTAAATATTTTGTTGCCATCTGATATTTGAACTAATTTAATTAAGTGTTTTGTTTTATTGATAATACCGTTTGTTAAATTTAGTTGCCAAAATATTTACTCGGGGCTCTCTACAAATTTTACGGGCTGTTGAGTAGGTTTTGGCTTGTATGGTTTATGTATGTTGGTAATATGCAAAGGGTACACAAGTGGGTCAGTACAAGGAACGTAATCTGAAAAAAAAATGCCTACCATATGTTTAATAAAATAAGCGGCCTAAACATATAATAGTAAATACTAGGGTGAGGTGATCATCAACCTTCCCTGATAGAGTGTTTATGGTTATTTGTATGTCATGAAGTGCAAGAGCAAAAGCCTTTTTACTAGTGATATGCATGTAATTCGTAAGTGACGGTTAGTTGTAGTAAATATGTTTAAAGGGAGTGGTGACCATTTACCCTCCCAGGTGATGGAATATACCTATATGTATTCTATGGGGTGAATGACTGATAACTTATGTGTTACCGGTATGCACATAGACAATACTTTTCCATGGTGCGACGCTCGCGCGCCAAGATTTGGGAATAATAACTTCTTCACAAAATAATATCCACATGGCGGATTTGTGAGCCTTGAGAAACAAAAACCATTTCTAGAAAAGCCGATCCGGCTTCATCGGATAAGGATTAACGAACCTTAACACGTCTGAAACACCGTACTGTATCAATTAATTTACAACCTAAGTAGCTTACCTAGAAGACAAATGATGCTGAATAATAATGCTTACAGTGTACCTGTATTGATAGCTATTCGAAATAGCTCAAATTGTATTTATTATCTTAGTCATTGAGCTCTTCGGGATAATCAGTAATTTATTTATAAGTTATTCTTTAGTCTGTAGAATTATGGTCTACTATGATATTAGCACCGCTCTAATAATAGACTTAATCCTAAAATGGTAGATTTGTCATGATGTAACTGCCTAATCTATAAGATCTTACGTGGATGTCACATTATTGTCTACACCAACTCATCGTGTCGTAGCAATTACCAATACATGATGAAGAACATACTTAGGCTAGAGATAGAACAATATATTTAATATGAATAAAAGGTATATGTTAACACTTAATAATGATCACGCCTGTAAGGTCAAGTCAAGCCATCCGATGGATTCGAACTCATTCCAATCATTGTTCCCGCCTTCTTTATCGTCGGGTTTTTCTCCGTGTTAAATGCTGAACATCTAATTTCTCACGACAGGTCTAACACTTTCATTTCATTGACACATTATGGCTATGATAATTTGTTATCCTCATCTATTGACTGTATAACTCACAATTTTCTATCAAAACTCTGATATATATAACAGTCAGTAAGTAAAAGATCATTGTTCAATTAACTGATTCAGTCAGACTGATGTTGTCAATATTATTCAAATCTAAATTCTAATTATTAGATCTTAAATTACAACGTATTTATACAATTCTCATATGAAGAATAATGAAACTTATTTTAATCAACCTACTGATATTTCTATTTTTCAAAGCTAAGAACATTCAGAGTGATTGATTAACCGAGTCTAGACCTATTAAGTGTATATGCTAACATGATATCTAAGGGCCAAACGATAGATTACTTACTTACGCCTTTTACTTCTCGTGAAGGAGCATAGACTGCCCAATAGCACCCTCCATCCAACCCTGTCCTAAGCAATGCTTTCCAGTTCTTTCTAGTTGTTATTCATCATTTTCATATCTGCTTCTATTTCCCGACGTAGTATGTTCTTTTGCCTACCTTTTTTCCGCTTCCCTTCAGGTAAAAGACTATAAACATTGCATACTAATGAAGAATACCTGTAATGACTTTAATCATGGTCTTAGCCTATATTTCCTTGTCTAGGCTAGAAGGACTGGTGTACACTTAACTAGAATTTGTGTAAACATTATTTGGTTTGTTAATTATGACTTTTTAGACATTTCTTGGCCATTCATTGGCAAAATAGGTTGAATAATCGTGTATACCTGAAATAAATGATTGATAGATGTAAAACTTGAATTTATTAAGAGATAAAATACATCTGTGTTACTGCCTCAGTGGAACTAATTTCGTCCTATATAGCTTAAGCTTTCCAATTATCGGTTACCAAAATAAAATGGGCCGCAAGATGGATCTGTGCACTTCGAAATATATTTTAGTCTATCAGTTAATACCTTCGTGAATTGATGCCAAATTTCGATCTTCTTACTGTTGAGCTTTTTTTACAGAGAGCATAAAGCATCTGAACTAGCGGCCCCTTACCATGAGTAAAACATTATCCAACGATTTCAGTTGATGAAATTTCAAAAATAATGCAAACCAAACAGGCATTTAAACTTAGTGAACTTATGCCTAATTTTGACATTAATCTATGGTTTCAGCAAATGTAGACATTAACTCGAAGAGATCAATGACTGAACATTAGCAATCCATGTTTTTCAGAGACAGATTAATACAGAGTGAACTACCGTACAATATGCTCTTTCTTTCGTAGACGAACGGTAATAGTGACAAACGTTTCACGGGAACTTTTCCACTGCGACATTGAGAGACTAAAGTGAAGTTGATTTTTATTCAACAGTTAAGTTTTGTAGCCCAGTCAACAAAGTTCCAATTCAAGATTCTGATGAGATTCAGTAATCAGCTTGTTACGTTCTAAGTTTCGATCTAATAAACAACATACTCTCATATTAGCATGATCAACCCATATATTAAAACAACATAACATTTTAATTATTTTCATTTAGCTCTCTTCATGATGGTGATGTCACAACAAAGTCTTCCATTCCATATACTCACAGGTAATCCGAATGTTATGGAATTTTGTATAATGACAGCAGATTAAATTTTGAAATGATGAAGTTATTCACTTATGCAATATAGTTTTAATATCTTTTATACTACTACTACTACTACTACTACTACTACTACTACTACTACTACTACTACTACTACTACTACTACTACTACGGCTACGATTATTACTACTACTACTGATGTTGTTACCATTTCTACAACTGTGAGATTTATCTTGATAATTTCACCACTCTGTTTTATTGTAGTGGTTATATATGTGCCAAGTTTTACGTTACACTTGACTAATTGACTAAATTTTCACAGATTGAAATCATGAGTCAGTTGAAGCTAGACCACCATTGAAAATCTGGAAGCACTGGACGGCCGTTTCGTCCTGGTATGGGACTCCTCAGCAGTGCGCATCCACTGCCTCATGATTTCAATCTGTGAAAATTTCTACAAATCTCCACAAACCCCTTCTGATAATTGACTAAACACTGAAAACCAGGATGAACCAAACAGATTTCAAACATAATATGGGATTCCATGGTGGTACTAACTCGCAATCATATCAGCAACAGAATGTAGAACCTTCGGGTCACGCGATAAACATTGCCACTAGAACCCCTAAGATGGCTCCCGGTTTTAATCAACTCATGTTATAAAATTATGATCTCACAATGAGATTGGTGACAACAGTTATGCTAGAAGTCTCCAGAGAGAGCTGAAATTCTTGACTTCGAATCTGGGATAAGTCGTGATTAATCACTGCTGAGTAATCCTCTCAATTTCGTAAACAACAGTAATGCCACGAGAAGGTAGTGAGTAGAACTTCCCCGACAGTGACTCTATACACGTGGCCGTTTGAGAGCATTTCGAGAGGGAGAGCTAATTCTCCCCACCCTCGGCCGTGTCAGGGCATTTAGGGGCCTCTTCGAACTAAAGGAAGTCAGAGAATCATAAAGAACCTGGGATTCTTGCTACGCATCAATTAAAAGACAGGTCAAAATCGATCTAGTCTCTGATTCACTGAAAAAAGAGATAAACGACCGTGAGGTCAGAGATAAAGCACAGCAATAAGTTAACTAAAATGAAAGTCCGGACAACAACTACAAAATTCTGAACATTAACTAATCGAATCTCAAGAAAAAAACAAAGTATTTGTCAATTGTAGAGTAATTCTAATAGTTTGTTTCATTTCGAAGTATGTACTGATTTTACTATCTAGAAAAACGACGAAAACTTCACAACTAAACTATTCATTTCAGAGGACACAACACTTTCGACCTCTTTCTCCTGAATTAAAAATATTCTTCATCACCTTTATTGTCTATTTAGTTTCTTCTTTCTTTCACTCGAAATCGTCTTCTTTTTGTTCTCTAGAGAAACTCTTAATTTACAAGGTATGGATGGTCATATCTATCGTGGTTCGCCAATACAAGAAGGTCAACATTTAGTAAATAATAATGATTTGTCAGCAGGGAAAGATGAAGAAAATTTAGATAAAGATTCTGATCGAAATGAAAAGCTACCACCAGTTTCAAAGTCAAGTCGTTATGTCAATACAGTAACAGCACGACCTCAAGTAAGAGAGATACGTTTTCTCATGCGTTTTTTCGGATGTGTTTTCTTAATTTGATGAATATTTTGGGGATGGTTGGAAGAAAGTCAAGGGTGGCCAAACCAAAACGTTGCATCAGTGCTTGAAGTCACTAACTTCTAATCTGAGCCATGTTGGTAGATGCAGACTACTTGGTTGGAGTCCGCACGACTTCGTAACCAAGGGACAGAGACTGTGGGTGACATGGCTCAGAATAGATAACGATGGTGTAGGTGCATAAACTCTCTGTCTTCCCTTAAACTATGGGATTAAAATGGCTTCATAACTTTCTACGAACTAACTCTTTCTTCCTGTACTATATCCTTATATGCAATCTTTCTTTTCTGTATTGCCACCATTGATTTAACTACTTCTATGAATTTGGTGTTCATCTTGTTGTGCTAACGAGGTATTGCAACTTGGAGAGATGTACATATGTGCCTGGTCCTACGCTGTAGCTGACTGACTGATATGTTTTAAATTTTTTTAAATAAATTATTACAATAAGAATCAATGAGCATTCAGAAGCGAGTCAAGAATAACCACTTAACAATTAGTTAATATCAAAATGGGATTTTGTGGATATCATATTAATTTCAGTAGTTGAGATCACGAGTCGATTGAAGTTAGACCACCATGGAAAACCTGGAAGCACTGGACGGCCATTTCGTTCTATTGTGGGACTCCTCAGCAATACTCATTCACGATCCTGTCTTGCGAAGTTCGAACCCAGGACCTATCGGTCTCGTGAGCGAACGCTTAACCTCCAGACCACTGAGCCGGCATCCAATGATGTTAATACCTAACTCCAAATAATCCACGGAATTGAGCAACACACCAACCATTATCTTCAGTGAGTCATTATCTGTGCACTGCTGAGGTGTCCCACAATAGGAAGAAACGGCCGTCCAGTGCTTCCAGATTTTCCATGATGTTCTAGCTTCAATTGACTCATGATCTCAACTACTGAAATTAATTAATAGTATATAATCCTCACCAATCGTAACAATCAACAGTTGTTCTATCCGATTTTGCAATTCAACACTAGTAAATAACCAACTGATTACTAAGTAGTTATCACAGATGTGTTTGTCTAGTCCTTTAAAATTGATCAGGTTCTACAAACCAAGTTGAAATATAGCTGCTAGTTTGAATAATCTGACATATAAACACTTAGCATCTTAATATACTGCATATGATTCCAAAACTGGTATTGATTGTTACTCAATGTACAAGTGGTCACTCACAACCCGATCAATGATAACAGCCTAAAATGTGTTGTACCACTCAAATTCGAATCACACATAGAGTATCAGTCTATTCAAGAACAAAAGTACACTCTGCTAATGAGTACCAACTAGCATGAAACCTATATGAAGCAAAGTATTCCATCAAGTATCTTCTTTATTGTATATCTCAATTTTTTTTAAAAACACATAGGCCCATATGAAATCGAAACCAAAGCCAGATTTCATCAAGAGAATACTATGATACAAGTTAACTATTGGTTTCCCTTATCCCATTCTATTCAATCTAATAACATTCATTATTATTTTCCAATATGCAACAACTTTGTTTTTGTTTGTTTTACAATTCTATCTCTTCCTTAAATCAATAATAATTCTTTTTTTGTTAGCAAGAGAGTACTATCACTTTCGATTCAAACAAACAAATAAACCATGTTATGATGCAGTTTTGTTCTCGGATCTGAATGGTTTGGTCATGGAGCTTTCATCTTTCTTCTTAACAACATCATCAGCACAAACTTCAGGTGGAAGTGAAGTGTTCAAACTTCTTCACATATGGTTCACAGCTTGTCCTGTACACCTCAATGTTGATCAGTTCTTGTTGACCTTTAACCTGTCATTGTTTACTTCTTTGCTTTGAGTGTGTCTCACATTGGTTTGATTTTTGTTCCTATGTTTGTGCATAATTTTCATGATCGGTTGATAATTTGGATCAATTTTAATGTGCTTGTTTATTGCTGACTGACGTCAGTGCCAAGCTTCTCTGGTGTTATCAGGATTTCCTCTATCCAAAATATCCACATTTTTCCAGTCGAATGTGTGTCCACAGTTGTCCATGTGTATTGATATAAGTGAAAATATGTCATTGTGTTTGAATGCTAATTGTTGTTCATGCAGGAGAAGATGAAGAGGGCTTTCGCTTTGTCCGATGTAGTGTTTTTTGCAGTTCTCACAATTTATTTTATAAATGATGTTTAGTTTGTCTTCTTTCGTCATATCATCCTTTGGTTTGCATAGAATTGATTGTAGGGATTTGGTTAGTTTGTGTTCAACATCTATTCCAAAGGTTTTCAGCATTCTCGTTATCGTTTCTGATATATACCATATTAATTATGATCATATGAATTTCGTCCATTTTAAAATTGTCGTCAACTGTTTTATCGAGTTTTTTCTTGCGTGATCAGGAAAACTGACATATTTAACTGTTATATAACAAAATTAATGAAATTATCTATAATTTATCACAAGGGGGTTTTGTGGAGATTCTAGCAATTTCAGTTGTTGAGATCATGAGCTAGAACACCATTGAAAACCCGGAGGCACTGTGTTAGCGGGACATAGACTAGATTAAAGCATGCTCAATGCACGATTGCTTTGGTGCACGCTGATTGGCTAATTCTTATCCAATCAGCACTAGTCGATAGCTGGAGAGTACTCTGGAATCTTCTCATGTAAAAACTATAAATATACTGACGTTTTCCCTATCGTGCTTCTTACATGCATCTTCCTTCCATATAACCTTGTTATTTGGAATATAATCTCTTTCCTCTTCAACCGTGTTCTGATTTAGGGACTTGTCGAGTGATTCGGTGTCCAAGAATACTAAGCAATAAGAATAGCTGGGTCATAACCGTAAGAAAGAGATTATAACATACTGGATAGCCGTTTCGTTCTATTGTGGGACTCATCAGCAGTGGGCATCCACGATCTCGCCCCTCTGGATTCGAGCCCAGGGCCTACTGGTCTCGAGCGCGAGCACTTGACCACTAGAACACTGAGCCGGCCGGCATCCAACGGTGTTAATGTTTAACTTCAACTAATCCACGAAATTCAGTGACACATCCACCATTGTAATCAGTGAGTTACTATCTCACAACTGATCCGGTTGAACTCCATGAGCTCAGTTTCGTGGATTAGTTGAAGTTAGACATTAACACCGTTGGATATCTATATTTTGTCTAAAATTTTAGTTTAGATAAATATTAATTCATTTGAATAGTATAAATAGTATAGTACTAAACAGTGTTAATTGTAAAGTGTTTACTTTGTCTATTTTTCTTTTTGTTTGTTGGTATGTAAATAGTTTGAATCATTTTTAGGATGGATACTATTTAAAGAGTAAAAGCTAAAACACTTAGGTAATTTTTTTTAACATTGAACAATCATTCCTTTCTACAGATGTCACTTCATTAACGATCGAGGAAATTGGAATGGCTATTAAACAAATCAAGAGTGGCAAAGCAGTAAAACTTGATAATATACCAGCTGAAACTTTGAAGTCAGACATGGAAATAACTGCAAGCATGTATCACGTTCTATTTAGGAAGATTTATGAGGAAGAGCTAATGCCGATGGACAGGAAAGGAGGACACCTCATTAAGATACCAAAGAAGAGAAATGTGAGCAGGTGTGAAAAATCAGCTGCAGAGGAATCATATTGTTGTCATTAGCAAGAAAGGTTTTCAAAAGAGTTTTGCTGAACTGGATGAAAGACTCAATAGACGCCCAACGTCGAAATCAACAGGTTGAATTCCGTAAGGACCGGTTGTGCACAGATCGAATTGCGACATTAAGGATCATCGCTCAGCAATCAGTTGAGTGGAACTCGTCACTAATCCATCAACTTCATTAACTATGAGAAGGCGTTTAATAATACAGATAAGAGGACCTTATGGAAACTTCTTTAACATTATGGTGTACCTGGGAAGATTGTCAATATCCTCCAGAATTCATACGACGGAGTACACTGCAAAGTGGTTCATGTAGCACAACTGACAGATGCAGTTCAAGTGAGTCAAACAAGACTGCTTACTTTCGCCTTTCCTCTCTCTTCAGATGGTCAACTGGATTATGAAGACCTCCACATCTGAGGGAAGCACGGAATACAATGGACAGCTTGGATGCAACCACACGACTCGAACTTTGCAGAAGACGTTGTCCTCCTATCCCATGCACAATAACAAATGCAGATGAAGGCAACCACTGTGGCAGCAGCCTGTGCAGCAGTAGGACTCAGCATACACAAGGGAAAGAGCATGACCCTAAAATACAACACAGAGAACACCAACATAATCACACTTCATGGAGAAGCTCTGGAATATGTGGAATCCTTCACATACCTGGAAAGCATCATCGATGGACAAGGAGGATCTGATGCAGACATAAACGCAAGGATTGGCGAAGCAAGGATAGAATTCCTATAGTTGGAGAATATATGGAACTCAAAACAACGGACAACTAATATCAAAATTAGAATCTTCAATACGAACGTCAAGACAATCCTGATGTATGGTGCTGAAACTTGGAGAACTACTACAACCATCATCAAGAAGGTACAAGTATTTATTAATAGTTGTCTACTCAAGATACTCAATATGCGTTGGCCGGATACTATCAGCAACAGCCTTCTGTGGGAGAGGACAAACCAGCCTTCAAGTAAAGAGGACATTAGGAAAAGACGCTGGGAGTGGATACACCATACAGTGCGAAAATCATCAAACTGCATCAGGAGGTATGGCCTAACTTGGAATTGTGAAGGGAAACAGAAAAGAGGAAGGTCGAAGAACACACTACGTCGAGAATTGGAAGCAAACATGAAAAGGATGAACAGAATCTGGAGACAACTGGAAAGGATTGTTCAGGACAGAGTTTAATGGAGAATGCTAGTGCATAGACTATTCTCCTCCACGAAGGGTAAGAGGCGTAAATAAGTTCAACAATCAGTGAAAACACTGGTGCTTACAAAAATATCACATTCTATGCAAGAACTTGGAAGAATTTATATCAGAGATGGGCAAACATTATTATTCAGTCTGATAAACGTAAAAATACGCCATCAAGTGATTGGGAAATAAACAAATAATAATATGCTTTTGGATGAATGTGATCCAAAGATCCTAGTCTACTTAATTCTGATTTATACTCTTTCCTATATTCGATTATTTCTCTTAGAAAAACTGTTTATTTTCAAATCAAATCAAGTCTAGATTAAATACTTATTCATTATATGACTTTATTCTATCATGTGGTATGGCAACTTGAACTGATGTACGTACATACGACGTTCTGCGTTGTTGCCAACGTACTGACTGATTCTATCATTCCTTATTATAAAGCAACTATCCTACAACCCATTTCAAATATGATTAACTTTTGTCAAACCCTTTTATTATCTTACTTAACAGACAATGGTTATTGGAACAGTAACAATTCGCATAGATCTTTGTACTATTATAATCACTATCATATCTGCATAAACGTTTACCTTGATCACATGACAGCCTACGTGCATATTTCTCTCTGACTAAAATGTTGATTGCCTAAATATCGCTCGATGATTCATTCTTTTCCCCATTTATATACGTACTTGAAAACTATTATTAGCCCTTGTATTGCCTAGCTGCGCCTTATTCGATTTGACTATAAGTTTGCCTCTGTATTTGCTCATATACACATACTCGCCTCTACGCTTTGAATTCGTTTGTTATCTGTTCTATCCGCTAATAAACAGTAGTCGCCGCATCTTATTGCCTTCTGATTTCAAAACACTGTTGAGATTTATATAATAACAGTTACAAAAGTGATTGATTAACGAAGCAAAGCCAATGTAATTAGATCGTAATTAATTTAATCTAAATCAGGACCCAGATCAAGTTGAATATTAACAGTGTTAAACTACACTGTGTTGTTGGTGACTATAAATGACACGGAAAAACTACCTAGAGATTTATATACCCTTGCTAGTTAATTGAATACATAGATTGTCAAATTGAAGAATCAACCATGAGAATCTAACAAATTTTGTTTGTACATAATGGTCATACTTAACTTAGAAGTTTTTTCACGTTCAGTTGTAAACTTCTATGAATTCGGTGTTCATTAGTCTAGGTGACTCGACGTTGCGTGCTCTATATTGAGATAGGATGGTGGTTAAAGGTATTCAACAGGATGCCGTGGACCCGGGTTTCATGCTACTTGGCACAAAACTAACAACTTTTGTCACTCTGGGAATTGTTCAAATGAAGTACACCATCATAGACTTAAAATATAATATTATATTTAATACTTACTTACGCCTGTTACTCCTCGTGGAGGAGAATATGCCGCTTACCAGCACTCTTTACCCAACCCTGTCCTGGGCAATCTTTTCCAGATCTTTCCATTTTTTATACATCCTGTAGCATGTAGCTCTTCTAGAGTTACTGACGGTCCTAAGCCCGGGTAAAGAAGAAGGATTGGACATAGGGTTAACGACCCCATCTTTAACCAACTGGATGACTGGGTTTCGTGCCAAAATTCAAGATCTGTTATCTTAAATCTGATTAGTTCGTTCACAATATTATAATCTTGTCATATAAAGGAATTCATACCTATAATCTTACTCAATCTTCTTTCTTTTGTTTATTTGTTAAATATAACTAAATACAAAGGTTGCTTATAAATATATCGGTTCAGAGAGACGTGAAAAAAGTCAATCACCTCAACGTATAAAACGTGTTAATTCAGATGAATTTTCATTAAAACAATTCAATTCAAATGGAATAGAACATTTACCTCAATTAATAATTGGTTCAACACAATTACCTAATCAACGTCATCGTAAAATTCCATTAAATCAATCAAATTCTAAATTAATTAATGAACATATATCAGTTAAATCGAATGGTTATGCTGTAATTGTTGTACCAAATACTGGAACAATAGAACGTAAGTATTGATTATTATGATCAATTTATTCTTAAATATGAATATAAGAGTATTTTGTAGTCAAGGGGGCGACAATCGAATGTATTTGAACAATACAAAGTATAGGATATCTTCGTGAAAATCTACGAACCTTCTTTCATTTCCACACTAATCATTCTTTGTTCTCGTTCTCTCTTCGTCAATCTTCTTAACTTTCTGCCATTAGGCTTTAGTGGTCCATGGATCTGACTCAAATTAGATCGTATGAATGTTTATTATCGCCTATTTTCGTATATCATCATCGACTTAAATCACGTTAGTCAATAACGGAATTAAATAAGCCAAATAACGAGAATGGACTTCTGAATAAATATATTTTGTATATAAAGTGAATAGAATAGAAAGAAGAGAAACTACGCAGAGTGGAGATGGCTGGTAAGCCAAATCCCATTTAACCAATATTTATAGTTACACAAAAGTAAGTTACAGATATGTGATGAGTAATGGGATAAGAAATGTACACACACCTACGCGCTCACATAAAAATAGTCAAGACTGATAAGCGAATAATTAACAACAAGATCAGAATGTGGCTCAAGTAGGATGAATAGAATGGGCTGTCCGAAAGCTAGAATAAGGTATAAGAGCTTATTATAATAACCGACACTACAAGGTATTCCACCTTCGATTGGTGATACGTACTACTTATATCTTTCAACATGAGTAACACACACCACACTATCTTAACCCTATTTTACTATTATTCTAACATAATTGAAGTTTTTATCATAGAAAAATATTGTTCCTTTGTTCAACGAAATTCACTAGACAAAAGTGGTTTGAATAATTTTTTCTAGTTAGCGTTTTTTTTAGCAAGTTAGTTTCCTACGGGATGTGGTCTCTAATCTTATGCCCAACCCTCCTCCTTTATTCGGGCTTGCGACCGGCAGTAGTCACAGTGGGGCTCCAGGTGGAGTTCTAAACAAAAGTACTTATTGTAATCAACAAATTTATCATTATATTCATAACTTCTGATTAGAGTTAATAGGGTAAAAAATGAATCAACAAAAATCGAACGTGGAAAATACTTGTTCTCTTATAGACAAAGATGAATGCTGACTAGCAGTGGAATCGAGGAGGTGCGTCTCATACTACATGGGTGTCACTACCTGGATTCAATATTATTGTAGTGAACGAGAACACAAGTGGGGACAGTCAAATATAATTGAACACACAAATTACAGAATGTCTTAGTAAAATCTGTGAACCATACAGTAAACAGTTCATTTTCAAAAGGTCAATCAATTATCTTAAACTTGACTGTTCATTTGTTTCCACAATAATTATTCTCTGTTCTCACTCTATTTTCTTTGATTTTATTAACTTTCTGCCGCAATGTGTTTAAATTTTGATCGGTGATACATACTACTTACATCTGTCGACATCAATACAATACACAACAATTTAAACTAATCTGTGTATTCTTTACGATAAATTCTCTTCAGGTTCTACAATTATATAATCCAAATTAATAATCTGTAACAATGGCCAGGTTAAAGGTAAAACACATCGTTTCAAGTTAAAACACGTAAACTGTAGGATTGTTAAACAAAATAGAATAAAATAATTCGTGTTGGTAAGACTCATATGGAATGTTAACTTGAACCTGCTTATATATTAAGTGAATAGGTTAAGATCCATGATCCGAATAAATATGGGGCCAGATAGGGTGGGACAAACAATAGTGCAATTACAATTCGACCAAATGTTTAGTGGAAGGCTATACTGTGTGAAAAAAAATCGATTGTAAATAAGTAACATATTGACGAAATGTTCGATAGTTTTCAATGGTTATATTATCTAGTAATAACAGTTGACAATAAATGCTTCATCGGGTTGACTATGTCTCCATGTTCCACTTAATTCGGTGGTACTCTAAGTTATTAGAAGCAGTTAAACAATTAATTGCAAAGATTTTAGAACAAAAAATCCTCCATGAGACCTAAAATCATTTAGTTACACTTCACAAATATATTTGTAGTGACGTCAGCATAAATGTATCCGGAGTAGAATTGTAATTTTGACCTTCTCTAAATCCCAATTTTCGAAAGTAACTTTGAACTACTCATGAGTAGGTTAGACGTATAAACCAAGTAATTCCTACAGCATATTTTAGTTAGTGTGAGATAAAACCTGGATTTGAATACTTTTTATTTCCTAGAAGAAACTCCAGAGTTGAAAACAGAAAATGGTTGGATTGCTGAAAGGTTGAACAATGAATTAAATGAAGATTCATCTCCAACTGGTAAAGAGAAGCATAGTTCAACTTATCCAAGTCCAGCCACAAATGATAATGATGAAGGAGAAGAGGAAATAGAACTAGTTACAATAGAACAAACTTCACCAGATGTGAATATTACAGTAGATGGTGAGTTACATCAATAAATCAGAGTCAATGTTAATATCAATCCGATTAATACCGTTATTATATGTAATATGGGTAAATGTTGATTAGTTGACAATTTTTCAACTGTCGGTCAATATAGTAGCGGTAGAGGTAGTAAACGTATAAGCAGCAATCGGAAAAATTAGGGTTTGAAGATGTTATTCAAAGAGTATAATCCAGTGAAACAAATTTGGAAAGAGAAAAAAGAAAGGGACATGAATGATTCAGAAGATTAGAATTTGGGAGAACACAACGAGTGGATACACCTGTGTCACTGCAAACGATTTTCAACCATATCGTTCAAGGTCTCTAACCATCGGTTGCTATCGTCACGCGAATTCCAACCAGGTAGCCGACACCTACCAACATGACTCAGTCCACTTGTCAGTGACTTCATAGATTTGTGCCATGTTTTGGTCTGGCTCTAGCTTATTCCAACCTGCTCCTACATCATAAACATCGCACGTCGGGGCAATTGGTGGTTGGGCATACGTAACACATGTCCCAGCCATCTCAACTGATGAAATTTCACTACGTCATCAATTGATTTGCCATCCTAACCTAGTACCCGTTTCCTAACAACTGCATTACTTACTCGGTGTTCTCAGGATATACGAGCAATATTTCGAAGACACCTTTGATCAAATACTAGCAACTTACGAAAATCCTCTACTCTTACCGGCCATGTTTCACTGCCATAAAGTAGGACGGAACGAACTGCTGCTCAGTAAACTCGTCCTTTGGTTAATAGACGGATATCTCGCCTACGCCATAAATGACGCAAGTTGGCAAAAGCTAGTCGAGCCTTCTGTAACCGTGCTGAGATTTCGTCACACACCAGACCACAAGGGCTGATGAGACTTCCAAGATAAGTGAAGCGGTATACACGCACGATCACTTCACTCCCTATCACTAGTTCGGGTGTCGATGTAACCCAATCCTGAAGCAACATTTTGAATTTCGAGGGAGAGAATCGTATCCCGAACATGCTTGCATTGTTGCTTAGAGTGGTCAGAAGATTCTGCATTTTGTCATCGTCTTCACCAAATAGAACTGTCATTGGCATATTCTAATTCAACAAGTGAATCTCCTGGTAGAATTTCAACCCCTGTAAATTTAATTAAGGAAAGTGTTATTTCTAAAAGCACATCTACGATAAAGTTAAACAAGAATGGAGAGAGTGGGCAGCCCTGACGAACACCAATTGAGGTAATCAATTCTGATGACAGTTCGCCATAAGGTCTCACTCTACCAGTTGTGTTCGAGTAGAGAGCCTTTATAAGGTTAATGTACTTCTTTCGTACTCCTTTCAGTGACAAACACTGCCACAAAATCTCACGATCAACAGAGTCCAGAAATACTACTAATACTTTTTCACGATGTTGAAACTGAAGTTATGAAACAGTAACTTAGCAGTTGAGAGTATTATTCAGCTACAAATTGTTTACAGTCATAGAAAGTACAAATCCTTAAATTATCTCATATCGACATGACATGAATTGATAAACGTATGCTGTTATCTCAAGCACAGATTTGAGTATTAGGTATTTGATCTCATTACCTTTGTGAAGGGTAGTATTAATGTCTGATTGAATTAAGCACAGTAGTGTTATAACTTTTAAAAACCGGTATTTAGAACAACAAGAAATTGAAATATACATGGCACACTTAAGGACGAAGACAAAAAATTGATAACAACGTTAATTCAATTAACTCATTTATACATATATCGATTTTAATAGTATTTCATAACTACGAACAGTAGATATGATACAGAATTACTGCAAAACGCATCCCATTTGTTACATTGAACATACACAAGGAATATCACACTAAGCAAAAAATCACAATAATTTAAAGGATACAATATAGGAATTGACACTAGGCTGAAGGTTTGAAGGAAGATAGAGGATAGCAGGACTGTAATAATATGACTTATTTGGGGCTATTCAACCTTTATTCAGCAATTGCTTATGACCGTTGAGTCAGTCCATACCACTGGGTGCATTTCACACTATAGGAATATAACCAGTAGTCTATTATTTAGAGAAAACTGAAGCGATTTACATTCTTTAGGTTGCCCTAATCATTTTTCTATCTTATACTAACCAACTTAGCAAGTTGGGTTATATAATTTGTTGATAAGCGCTAAGCATATTCTAGCCGTGACATTCAACAGAAGTTTATAATTCCATTTCGGGGCCACACCCGGAGCCTTCGACTTAAAGGTCTAATCCACAAGGCAGTGGAGCAACGTTAGAGATGCAGTCCCATGGTAGTCGGTGACCCACAGTGGGTTCATACACCATTTGTCCCTTCAGGATCATGGAGTCCATGTGCACCATTGGTTTCGAATCAGGGTTTTACACCTCCCTTAGGTGGGGTAGATCCTCTGTATTCACCAACCTGGTTAAAGTGCCGGATATTCGCTTTTCATCTCACTTTCGTAAACAACAGTAATGTCACGAGAAGGTAGTGGGGAGGATTTCCCTGATATTGACTGTATACGCATGGTCATGTAAGGATATTTCGAGAGAGAGAGCTAACTCCTGCTCAGTTACGAATTGAGAACATTCTATGTGTTAGACAAAACATAATAACCATTACACCACAGAAACAACATTTAGTTTGTTCTTCTTTTCTTTAATAAATTCACATACACACACTGTTTATTTTCTTTAACAACAACGAAAAAAGGCGAACAAAATTCTTTCTTTTTTCTTTCTATTTACAGATATCTCCAACTAGATACTACAAAATAAATAGTTACCAAGTATAGTTACCCTATTTCACTATTTGATATTATTTACACGTATAGAGGCATATTTGAAAGTTGGATCAAATTTTAATCATTTCAAAATAGTTCTTCAAATGAACCTCCACTTTTTTTTAAAAAAATTTGATTAATTTATTTTTTAAGTTACATACAATTCAAAGTTCAATGATTTGAAGGATCACAATTAATTATTGAACATTGAATACTTCAAATATGAAACTAGAAAAATGACAAACATAGAAATTTTTCAAGCAAAAAAAACAAACAAAAAGAAATCAATTATTGATCGTTAAATAAACAATTTGCATAGAAAGAAAAATTTTTTTGTAAATTTCGAATTTTTCTTCATGTTGATTATAAAAACGAAAACAAAAAAAACACAATTTAATTCAGTAAAACAAATAATCATGTGAACTAATATTTATTTATATTAGGTAAATGATGGTAAGCAACAATATTTTCTTTTCTTTGGCTTCCATTCAGTCAGTTAGCAACAACAACAACAACAACATCGTAGAACTTTGTACGTGTGTACATTACAATGCCAGTTGTCATGCCATATTAGCTTCCATTAGTCTTTTTTAGAAGAAAAAAAATCGATATTCGATATAACAAAGTGATCTATATTTGTTTGTTTGTTTGTTTATTGTTGGGTAATATTTTGTTTATTGAATTTGTTCAACGTTGCTAAAAAAAGAAAAAAACTTTTTTTTCCTAGTTATTCAATGTTATAATGAACAAACAAGAAATATTAATTGATATGCATGATTATTATTATTATTAATAATTTTTTCTATGTGACATATATATTTATTTAAGTGGATTTTTGCAATGAGCCCCCAAATGCCCTGGTGCGGCCGAGGGTAGGGAGAGTTAGCTTTCCTCCTCGAAATATCCTTACATGGCCATGTGTACACAGTTAATGTTATGAAAATCCTCCCCACTACCTTTCGTGGTGGGGGTGTTGCGTACGAAATTGAGATAAAAGCAAATATCCGGCACTTTAACCAGGTTGGTGAATACAGAGGATCCACCCTACCTACAGGAGATATAAAACCCTGATTCCAAACCAATGGTGCATATGGTCTGCATGATCCTGAAGGAACAAAAGGCGTATGAACCAATTGTTGGTCACCGACTACCATGGGACTGCATCTCCTTATGTTGCCTTGTGGATTAGACCTTCAAGTCAAAAGCTGGGGATGTGGCCAGCTAAGCAAACCACCTGTTTCGTTCTGGGCACCCTACCAGTATCATAATACACATACAAATTAAGTGACTTATGTGGCGCATATCTATTCGGTTCTCCTTTGTACCAATATTTATGTGTTCAAATAAATAAATATTTTTGCAATGCAATATATTAACTGACTTTAGTTAGATAAATATTGAAAATTAGTAAAACACTGAACAACTGCTTCATTCTAGTGTAGTGAACAGAACACCAGTGGGGACAATCGAATGTATTTAACACAAAATTACAAGACTTGTTAATAGAATCTAACAATCATAAAGTAAATACTTAGTTTGCAAAATGTTCACCAATCGTCTCAAAATGACTAAGACTTCATTGTTCTTGCATTTTCATACAAATTGCGTTCAGTTTACATTCATTACTGTTCGATCCTCTTATCTCTCTGCTGCCAGACCTTCTGTTCACGACTAACATCATATACTACATATGTCAATATAAGTAGCACACACCACACTAGTAGTATGAGGAGACGTTTCAGTAGTGCAAGGTAACGATCCTTACAGACATCAGGTCTTGGCAATAAGCATTCGACCGTTGAATCAGAATTCGGTGATACTGGATTGTCGACAAAACTACGATAAGCTCTTCATTTTTCGAATTATTTACAATCAATCTGAAATGTTCGATAAATCTATATGTTTTTTTAAAAAAACCAATGACAAAAACTATCCTCTTCTTGACCTTGAGAGTTGCTCAACGACAATATTTTGATATACAATCTTACCTTACAAACACGAACAGTACACTATGAGAACATTAGTTTGTGAGGTTGTGATTGTATTCCATTGAGTAATCTATACGAATTAGTGGTAAAATCCCGGCAAGATGATTCTTGAAGTGTTTGTCTAAACAAAATCAGTACAAAGTACTCAACTTTCCTACTGCTTACATTTGACACTAAAAACGGCACAAAGTAACACTGAAGATTGGTGTGGATGAAGATTTATTAACCTTTCAAAGAACACCCTTAAAAAACAAGTAGTCATTAGACCGAACTATGCTCATTTACATACGCAATATACAGAGTTACTTAAGAAAAAATATACCGAATACAGTACACTTGAATTAATACAAGGAATGAAGATGTCATACTAGATGGAAATTCAGATTTGTCACATTGATCAAAATTAATACTGAAATGATACAGAATTATTGATCTAAAGTCACGTCATCTTCTTATCCTATTACTGTATTTTCTTTTGATAGGGACTTCAGGGATTATCAACAGCTTCCCATCCATCGACGCGACAGAAAACTATAACTCAGAGTTGGATACATATTCAGCTATATAGGGTTACTTCCTTCCATTTACATTCGATTAGCTTTTATCAGACCATCAGTACGAGATATTGAAGGGAAGTGTCCATAATTTGTCTCAATAATAGTATTAAACTCCTTAGAAAGGCGATAAACTTTTGTTGAAAAGGTAATACACTCGATAGGCAGTCATCAAGGGACGAACTTCTTTTAGAAGTGAACTGACTTAAAGATAATGGTGTATACTTGTAAAAACAAGCCCAGGAATTCCCCAGGTTACTCTAAAATCTTTAACATTTGTTTAAATAGTTACGTTTGCCCACTGTAGCAACAGACTATAAACAGTGAATATCTTCAGCGATTATTTCTAGTTGTTCAGGCCGAATACGCTCTACCAGTGAAATATTTTAGTATTTACATCGATTGGTCAGCGAGTAATGTTTTTCTAACCGCTTAGTATTGGTGAAATTTCATTTATCAAGTTATGATGTGACAACCAGTCTGACTGACTCAAAATCACGTGGAAGACATTTTCATGTTAGGTGGTTGGAGGTTGTCGGTAAGAGACGAAGGACTTCATGCTAGATAGGACCTTTGGAAGACTTATGCTTCCCAGTGGTTTCAACCTGTATCATCAAGCTTCATAGACTAAGACATTATCACTGAGTAATTCGGGTCGCTATTAGCTTCAATCCTTAAGAAAATCAGTGCTCAATAGCATGAAAGTTGGATCCTTAGTTTCTTCCTAACTACTTATAAGCACATAACATATCTTAATATTGCTTCTCTCAAGATTCATATAAATTATATTAACACAGAGGTGTATTACTCTTAGTATGATTCATGACAGCACTGAATTTATGACAAACATATATAGTATGGGGGTTATGGAGATTATTAAGTTTTTGATTGAGATCATGAACCGATTGATGTTAGACCACCGTTGGAAACCTAGACGGCCATTTTGTCCTATTGTGGGACTTCTCAGCAGTGCGCACCCACGATCTCAATCAAAAACAGATATAGAACAAGTCAATTTCATAGACATCGGATCAGAAAATCGAATACCATATCAAAATATGTATAAGTTTCTTTTCCAAACAGAATTTCTTTATAACAGAAACAAAAAGGAAACAAGAAACAAAAGATAAATAGAGCATAGAATTATGATGAAATATCAATAGCAAAGTATCGAATAGTTGTATCATCTGATGCTGTACACAAGAATGGTTCAATTTTATCATTATTATTATCGTCTATAGATTTACAAAATGGTGGTAAAGTTAAATAAAGAATCATTGCTTTATGACCCCACCATATTTTCAAAGGGGTTTTTTCTGTTAATAAACCAGATGAAGATTTTCCTGTTAATCCAGTGATACCACACCATGCAACTATGGAACCTTTAGTAGTAGCTGTGAAAAATATAGGTTTATATCGACTCCAACATAATGATGTAATACCGATAGGTTGCTGTTAAATTAGAAATAAATATAAACGAGAATTCACTGAATAGTATCAATCAAATAAGGAGAATGTTTACGTTATTGTATTAAGGATGACTACAAAACTTAATAGAAATTAGTGTATGAAAGGGACAAAATAATTATAATAGGAGAAGCAGTTCAGTTTTAAAAAATTCTACACATGTTCCCATAACTCCTCGTTACCTTCCAGAGCCAGCGACGATCAAACACATGGAGTTGCCTAACATCCTCAACTCAGAAATGCCAGGCTTCATGAGCTTAGAGTAAGACTGTTCTCATCAACGCATTGTACATCCGATCTTTTATAACTAGACCAGAATCACGAAGGTGCCAAAGATGATCCAGATTGACATAAGCCTCTCTGGCTTTCACTATATATATGAATTGATTTCATCACTCACGTAACCATCAGCAGTTACACAGCAACACTCAAATACACGAACTTCTCGACCACTTCTATATGCTCACTACCAAAAGTGAGTGCAGCTATACAGTCCTACCAGTTTCGTAAAAGCATTTTGCACTTAGAAGGTGTGAGGCATATGCCATAACTACAGACACTAGTTGCCAACTGATTAAGTGCGGATTGCATAGCTTGGATATCATAGCACAATAAGACAACATCCGCATACATAATAGGCAAGGTTAAGTGGGGTTACATAGGTTAACGAGTAGATTCATAAAGTACCAAGAGAACTCATTCACCATATAGACAATGACGCAACTAAATGTGAACCATACTAAAAAAACTAAAGAATTTCATCATATGTATCACGTGATGTGGCTATTTTAAACTGATGACCATAAGTCGAAAATCACTAGGATTATCTTTTTCTTTCTCTTAGTAGGTTGAACTTTTCTTAATTTTCCAGTAATCAAAATTTCAACGCACAAATAATGGTTGGTTATTGAAAGAGTTAAGCAATTAACATACTCCTAGTTGAATTTTAGAAAATCCTGATTTGAAACCAAC